TTGGTATTTTTGCTGAACTGTTTGGTGTTTTCTGACTTTTTTGGGACTTGTATTTTTTGTCGTTTTGCGTATTTGATCATCGGGTAGTTTGGTATTTTTGCTGAACTGTTTGGTGTTTTCTGACTTTTTTGGGACTTGTATTTTTTGTCGTTTTGCGTATTTGATCATCATGTTGACTTGTACGATTTGCTAACTTGCTTCATGCGCTCGTTAGCTTCTTTACGGCACTTGGAACCGACTGACATGTGCGTTGGGCATTTTGGATCTGATCGCCAAGCGCGGCGGGCATTTTGGATCTGACCGCCAAGTGAGGCGGACACTTTGTATCTAGCTGCCAAGCGGCGGATGGCAAGCTTTGGATGCTGACCGCAACGTGGGCAGGCAGCTTTGGATCTGGAGTGCCAAGGCCTGTTGGGCACTTTAGATCTGACTGACAAGCGCGACGGGCACTTTGGATCTGACCGCCAAGCGTGTCGGGCACTTTGGATTTGACCGCCAAGTGCGGCAGGCACTTTAGATCTGACTGACAAGCGCGACGGGCACTTTGGATCTGACCGCCAAGCGTGGCGGGCACTTTGGATCTGACCAACGTGCACGAGCTGATTGGCGAGCACGTTCGGTCACTTGGAACTGACTGACGCGCGTTGATTGACGTGCGCGCGTTGACTGACGTGGGTGCGTTGACTGATGTACGCGCGTTGATTGACGTACGTGCGGCGGCCAGTTGGATAATTCTTCTTGACTCGTCTACTATTTGCTTCGAGCTGCATGCGGGCTCTCATATGTAATTTTAGACGCCTACACAACCCAACACAATAAATTGAGGAAAACTAATTAACAACCAATTATTTTCATGTGTATTATATGCCAACGAAACAAGAGTAAAGTGTGAAAATTAACTTCCATCCATGTTTTAAAGTGTAAACCTAACACCAAAAAAATCCATTTTAAGGAAAACTACAAAAAAACCACAAAAATGGGGTTTTGTCAAAGAAGGTAGTTTCCGACGAAAGTGAGAAACAAACCAAACATACCCTAGGAATAAAACACAGCAGGGTGTCCTGGGAAGGACCTGACAGTTGATAATGTTACTCCACTTATTAATCGTGCACACTCCTTTTCACCTAACGGTTTGTGATTTCTTTTTCAAAAGAATGGTAGACTCTGTTTGTTTCACCAATAAACAAGAATAGGATTAGAAATCAGGTTTTTTTTGGATTCCTACATATTCCATAAAAAAATTTATAGATATGTTTGTAGTTTTATGGATCCTATTTTTTGGCATTCTATGTTTTTTTTCACCCCATGGAAAAAAAAATCCCACTTTTATAGTAACCCTCCAATTCCTAATATCTTGTTTGGTTCCGAAATACATTTTTTTTGGGATCAACGTTGTAGCAAAGTCATAAAATTGTGCTCCAATACAATTGTGTTCAACAAACCCCAAGTTCATGTTCAAAGAACATCCGAAACCCCACAAAGGCAAAACAAAAAAACAAGGAGCTACACAAGCTCAAAACCACAAAATAGGGAGCTACACAAGCTCCAAGCTCCAAAGAACAGCCACAACCTCACAAAGATAGGGAGCTACACAAGCTCAAAATACCCGACATTAACAAAAAGGCAGGGATCACAAACAAACTGCCAGAATCCCACCAAGTACGAACTGCGTCGACGACGGCTAGTTCGAGAAGGGAGTCCACCAATCACTATTAGCCCTTATGTTTTGATGATGTTTTACAACCACCATTATCAGTACTAATTGCTTGTTGAGTGATATTGTAGTTAATATATATCAAGCTTGTTAGTACCACTTATGAAGGATTGGATGGAATATGAGCTACAACGATGATATCCAAAGGAGGAGGAGGCATAGTGATGAAGCAAATGTTAATCAAGAACAACACATACAAGTCAAAGCTTCATCAACTCAAAGCTATATCAAGACTCAAAGAATTATAATTCTATGTGAGGATATTAGCTAGTTTTTCTTTTCTCTCTAGTGCTATAATATAGGTAAGTAGTTGTAGATTTCACTTGAAACTATTGGGATATCACACACACGTTTTCATACTTATATTTTTGAGCGTTTTAACAAAATATCATTTTTCATAAGTATGAGGTCCTTTTCGTAAAATTCCTTTTCCAAACAGTTTGTTTTTAGTGTTAAAAACAATCTACAAAGTAAGACAAATTTTTAGAAGTCATTTGAATATTTTTACAGATTTTTTAAAAAGAGTTAAAACTATTTTCTAAACTGTATCTGTTGTGTCAGTTCGCGGTCGACCGCCACGGCCGACCGTGCCTATGTCTTTTCCTGAGTGGGCAGCAGAAACTTTTACGGTCGACCGTCAGCTCGAAAATTCCCACGGTCGACCGCAAAAGTCTCTGGAAATTTTCCGAGCCTCGAAAGTGGCTCCCCCCCCCCCCCCCCCCCCCCCCCCGGCTCGCGCTCGACCGCGAGATTTTCACGGTCGACCGTCGTTTACTCCAATGGCCTTTTACGTACAGATTTCAGACGACGATTTTTACGGGATTTGGGGGATTTGGGTATGGGTTTTGGCCGTAGTGTTTTCTCCTATTTAAACCCTTCATACCCCTCTTCTTCAACCTGTCCCAAGCACTTTGAAAAACCAGAGATCTGTTTTTACTGAGAGCCAAAATTTTCAAGCCTGTTTTCTGTGTTTTTTTTAGTTCACATCCCAGCTTCAGTGTAATCTTTCTCCTTGCCATAGGGACATTGTAAAAAAGAGAGTTTTTACACTATTACTACTGTTGAGAGCTTGATCTTGTGGAGATCAACTGTGTGGGAGTGAGATCTTGTGGTGATCAACTGTGTAGTTGTGAGATCTTGTGGAGATCGTTGTGTAGAAGAAGTTCTGGCTTCCAAACCGGGTTGTGTAGTGGATTCTCCTCGAGAGGGGGGAGCGGGGACGTAGGTCAGCGGGCC